CGCTTCGTGGCCTCATGGGGAATCCACCGAAGGCCCAAATGGTTGCTTTCGCATGCAATCTCCGCACCCAACTCGACACACCCCTGACACACTCCGTGGCCCCATAGGAAGCTCCACCGAAGGCCCAAAGGGGTTGCGTTCGCATGGCGCCACCGCGCCCATTTCGGCACGCCACTCGCACGTTGCGTAGCCCGATAGCGAGCCACACCGAAGGCCCAAGTGACTGCGCTCGCATGGCACTACCGCACAAATTTCGGCACACCGTTCACACGCATCGTGGCCTCATGGAGAATCCACCGAAGGCCCAAGTGGCTGCGCTCGCATGCAACCACCGCATCCATTTCGACACACCCCTCACACGCTTCGTGGCCCCATAGCGAGCCCAACCGAAGGCCCTAAGGGGTTGCGCTCGCATGGCACGACCGCGCCCACTTCGGCACACCCCTCACACGTTGTCGTGGCCCCGTAGCGAGCCCCACCGAAGGCTCCAAGTGGCTGCGTTCGCATGGCATCACCGCGCCCATCTCGACACACCCCTCACACGCTTCGTGGCCCCATGGGGCGCTCCACCGAAGGCCCAAATGGTTGCGTTCGCATGGCCCCACCGCACCAATGTCGGCACACCTCTGGTACGTTTCGTGGCCCCATTGGGAGCCACCGAAGGCCCAGGGGTTTGCGTTCGCATGGCGCCACCGCACCCATCCCAGCACGCTTCGTGGCCCCACAGCAAGCCCAACCGAAGGGCCTAAGGGGCTGCGCTCGCATGGCACCACCGCGCCCACTTCGGCACACCCCTCACACGTTGTCGTGGCCCCGTAGCGAGCCCCACCGAAGGCCCCAAGTGGCTGCGTTCGCATGGCACCACCGCACCCATTTCGGCACACCCCTCGCACGTTTCGTGGCCCCATGGGGATCTCCACTGAAGGCCCAAGTGGCTGCGTTCGCATGGCACCACCGCATCTTTTAGGGCACACCCCTCACACGTTTCGTAGCCCAAGAGTCGCGCTGTCTCGTGATCGGCTTCCCATCTGTGTGTGAAGGGCGTCACTGCCGCACATGTTTGAAATCGAGACCCCGCAGGGAGCTCCACCGAAGGCCTGGCCCAAATGGCTGCGTTCGCATGGCACCACCGCGCCCATGTTGGCACACCCCTCACACGTGGCGTGACCCCATAGCGAGCCCCACCGAAGGCCCAAGTGGCAAGGTTCGCCTGTCTTCCTCTGCAATTTTGACACGCCCCTTACATTTGTCGTGGCCCATAGGGAGCTCCGCCGAAGGCCCCAGTGGCAGCGCCCGCATGCGTCCCCCAGCCCACTTCGGCACACCCCGCACACGTTTCGGGGCGCCATGCCTACGATGAGAAGATTATATCCTACGTTACTCGCAGCTGCATATGGTCCTTCGTCAAATTGTTTCATTACTTGGGGGGGTCTGGGTTAGCATCCACATGTATCCCCCTATCCTCTTGGTACACCCCGCGGCGATCCAAGTAGGGGGGGCGCGGGGCGCGCAAGCCGCGGCTGCCGCACCTTTCTCGGCGACTTGGGGGGGGCCCGCACCGCAGGCCAATCCATCGAAAGGTCACTCCCTCGTGCAGTCAGCCCCGTTGCCTCTGAGATCCTGGCGCTGCAGTTTCTTCACGACGAGCGTTTTCGCTGGCTTGGGGCCCATTTTCGGGCCGGGCGAAAAAAGGGGATATAGCAAAGGGGAGGGCTGAGAATCAGCTCACGTAGCTGATTTTCCCGGCGCCTCCTGGCGCCGGGAGGCGCCCATGTATCGAGGAATGGGCCCGGCGGCGGAGCCGAAACCAGCTGCATGCAGCAGATTTCGTACCCCCCCTTTCCCAATCCCACCCTTTCGTTCAGCCCGACATTCGACCTCCACCGATCGATCTGGCCCGAATCACGGCGCAGAAAAGCGGGCCCAAAACCCCGGTCGTGTTGTTCGCGATGCTGCCATGATTGCGGGGGGAAACCACAAGGTGCGGGTACCGCCACTCCCTGGACCTCTTCTTGGATGCTTGCTGGCCAGAATTTCGAGGCGAATCTGGCGGTGGCGACGAGGGCTGCCCAGGAGGCCCGAAGAGGCGAAGACGAGGGAAGGGTGGCTGTATGGGTACCTGCTCCTCCTCCGCTCTGCAACGCCAGATCTGTGGGTACCCATTCGAGCGCACCGATCTGCTAGCGCCGCCCGCCAAAGGCCGCTCTGACGAAGGGTCGCCCCTCGCGCGGGCGAGCCGCGCACGCGCGCGCCCTTCCACTACACGCAAGAGCGACCCCGGGCAAGAATGGCTGCCTCTTGTGCGCAGCTTCACGGGGGACGCGGGGTGGCCAAAACTGGGCGCGCAAGCCGCTGTTACCGCTTCACATCCAGCCATCTGGGGAACCAGACCCCCGACGTCATGATTTTTGTCAGAACGTCGACCCCAGAAATCTCGACCCAGTCTCCGGGACCGGTCTCATCCTGAGTCGACTTTTGACAGGGCCCCCAAATGCCGAACATGAGAAATTACCCTGTGACGTACCCAACCCATTTGTATCAATGGAAACGAGGAGTTGGCCGAACCTTGCATGGACAATCAACTTGATGTGTAAGCTACTTGGGACACGCGCCTATGGCATGATGCGCAGGAGAGCCATACAAGAACGAGGGGCGATAGCTACAGGCTCGAAGAGGACATGGGGAGTCGGGAACGCAGAGCGGGAGGAAAACGTGCGGGAAGCCGAACCATCAGCACGGCAGCAGCAGAGGGAAGGTGACTGCAGGAGGAGAACAAGGACGAGAGCGGCGTCTAATGTGAGTCTGCGGTGGGTACCCACTGCGCTGTGCCCCTTCAGCAGCCTCGAAAGTGGCGACAGTTTCACAGATCGCAGCCCCCCAGGGATGGCGAGGTCGAATTTGAATCTGCGGTGGGTACCCACTGTGCTGGCCCCCCAGCAGCCCTCGAAAGTGGCGACAGTTTCACAGATCGCAGCCCCCCAGGGATGGCGAGGTCTAATTTGAGTCCGCGGTGGGTACCCACTGTGCTGGGCCCCCAGCAGCCTCGAAAGTGGCGACAGTTTCACAGATCGCAGCCCCCCAGGGATGGCGAGGTCTAATTTGAGTCCTGCCGGTGGGTACCCACTGTGCTGGGCCCCCCAGCAGGCCCTCGAAAGTGGCGACAGTTTCACAGATCGCAGCCCCCCAGGGATGGCGAGGTCTAATTTGAAGTCCGCGGTGGTACCCACTGTGCTGGGCCCCCCAGCAGGCCTCGAAAGTGGCGACAGTTTCACAGATCGCAGCCCCCCAGGGATGGCGAGGTCTAATTTGAGTCCGCGGTGGTACCCACTGTGCTGGGCCCCCCAGCAGGCCTCGAAAGTGGCGACAGTTTCACAGATCGCAGCCCCCCAGGGATGGCGAGGTCTAATTTGAATCGCGTGGGTACCCACTGTGCTGGGCCCCCCAGCAGGCCTCGAAAGTGGCGACAGTTTCACAGATCGCAGCCCCCCAGGGATGGCGAGGTCTAATTTGAATCCGCCGTGGGTACCCACTGTGCTGGGCCCCCCAGCAGGCCTCGAAAGTGGCGACAGTTTCACAGATCGCAGCCCCCCAGGGATGGCGAGGTCTAATTTGAATCCGCCGTGGTACCCACTGTGCTGGGCCCCCCAGCAGGCCTCGAAAGTGGCGACAGTTTCACAGATCGCAGCCCCCCAGGGATGGCGAGGTCCCATTTGAGTCCGCCGTGGGTACCCACTGTGCTGGGCCCCCCAGCAGGCCTCGAAAGTGGCGACAGTTTCACAGATCGCAGCCCCCCAGGGTGGCCAGCCGCGGTGGGATCGCAGCCCCCCAGGGATGGCGAGGTCTAATTTGAATCCGCGGTGGGTCCCCACTGTGCTGGGCCCCCCAGCAGGCCTCGAAAGTGGCGACAGTTTCACAGTCGCAGCCCCCCAGGGATGGCGAGGTCTAGTTTGAATCCGCCGTGGGTACCCACTGTGCTGGGCACCCCAGCAGGCCTCGAAAGTGGCTACAGTTTCACAGATCGCAGCCCCCCAGGGATGGCGAGGTCTAATTTGAGTAAGCCGTGGGTACCCACTGTGCTGGGCCCCCCAGCCGGCCTCGAAAGTGGCGACAATGTCACAGATCGCAACCCCCCAGGGATGGCGAGGTCTAATTTGACTCCGCCGTGGGTACCCACTGTGCTGGGCCCCCCAGCAGGCCTCGAAAGTGGCGACAGTTTCACAGATCGCAGCCCCCCAGGAATGGCGAGGTCTAATTTGAATCCGCCGTGGGTGCCCACTGTGCTGGGCCCCCCAGCAGGCCTCGAAAGTGGCGACAGTTTCACAGATCGCAGCCCCCCAGGGATGGCGAGGTCTACTTTGAATACGCGGTGGGTACCCACTGTGCTGGGCCCCCCAGCAGGCCTCGAACGTTGCGACAGTTTCACAGATCGCAGCCCCCCAAGGATGGCGAGGTCTAATTTGAATCCGCCGTGGGTACCCACTGTGCTGGGCCCCCCAGCAGCCCTCGAAAGTGGCGACAGTTTCACAGATCGCAGCCCCCCAGGGATGGCGAGGTCAAAGGCAGGGGGGGAGAGAGGGACGGGAAGGAAGGAAGGAAGGAAGGAAGGTTCGCGCGAGGAGTGCTCTATTCAAAACGAGAACCCAGCGCAGGAGGTTTGGGAAAAACATCCCGTCGTGATTGTTTCATTGCTCGAGGGGGGTCCGGGGACCCGTCCGTAACCACACCCGAAGGCCGCTCTGGCGAAGGGTCGCTCTGACGTCTAGACGAGCCTTGGGTCGGGCATGTCCCCCTGCAGGCGGCTTCTGGACGAAAAATGGAAAATACTCACAAAATCTTCAATTAAAACATAATGATACTAAACATCCCCCCAGACTATATGTTTACATAATGTTTGATTATCCCTCCTGTAGAGGGACGTGCCCTCCCCGCCCAGGCCGCGCGCGAGCTCCGCGGGCCCGTGCGCGGCCGCGCGGAGCCGTCCGTGGCGGCCGGCCGCCGCCTCAGTTGGCGTGCGTCTTCTTGAAGTCCTCGGGCGGGGGGGGGGGGGAGGCCTTCTCGAGCACAGTACTCGGCCTGACCTGAGGAACGATACATGAGGAACGAAGCCCCTTTGGTTCCAAGTGGGTCCAGGAAGTCCGAAGGAACACCAGGGGGGCTCGCCGCCAAAAAGGAAGCGGGACGCACGCAGACCCAAGGAACGACCGAGCCCCTTTTGAACAGTAAGTGTTCCTTATTGAAGCCGAACCCTGTCCAGTATGAGCTCGACCACAAGAAATCTCCCACAATAAAACCAGCCCTGGGACCCCAGGGCGTCCATCGATGTTTGGTGTGGGAACGGCCTTCCTTCCACAGCAAAACCATCGAAACCCAAGAATCCCAGGGCACCCTGGAGACAAGCAGGGTGTTTCTTGGAATGGGCCTTCTCGAATACTTGGATCACCGCGGGGGTTGCCAAGAGAATAACTCATAATCCCTTGTTAACCGACCCCTCCCTCCCAAAAAGGACCCTCCTTCAAATGCGGCCTAATATTCCGGACCCCCCTCTTTGACGAGGCGCCTTAATATTAATAAAAAAGACCCTCTAAATTCCAATCCGAAGAAAAACCCGAATAAACCGGACCCCCCCAAATACAAAAAAGGCGCCTTAAAAAATCAGACCTGGGGGACGATTCACAAGGGATTTGGAGTAGAAGGATACAAGTGAATGCTAAGGTGGGTTCCATCCAGCCTGACCGCGGTGCGGAAGAATGACGACGGGAGGTCTTTCGCTACTTTCGGCCTCCAGGGGTCCTCGCTGGACTCTGGGACCGTCAAAAAACAACCGGGGAATGATCGCCGCGGGGGTTGCTAAGAGCAGAGGGGGATACAAGTGGATGCAACGGTGGGTTTTTATCCCGCCTAACCCAGCTTAGAAGTGGGTTGCGCGTGCCCTGCGTGGCTTAAAGGACGTACAGAGCTGGGCTAAGCAGGCGGAGCCAACTTAGCGGAGCTACTTCATAATCCTAAACCACATAGGGCACATGTAAACCACTTATATCGTGGGTTCGGCCAGATTGCCCCCACTTTAGCATCCACTTCTAACCCCCCCATGCCCTTAGCAACCGCAGCGGCGATCCCAAGTAATTAAGGGATCGACATCTACCCCCAAGTTCATTTTTCTCGTCGAATCCATGGAACATGCCTTGAACATACGTAGATGTACGAAACAATCGACGATTTCTTCTACATTCTCGACGTCAGAACTACTTCTGGGACAACTCAATTCTGCAATCCATCCCCCACTGGACCTTAGTTTGCAGTGGAGACGACAAGGCTTTTGTGACCGGTCCCGTTTTGCCGCTTCGACATGTTGCAGATCCCGACGCCGTCTTTGTGGCCGGTGCCGTCTCCGTGTTTGTTATTATGGTTCCGGGTCCAACTCCAATCCTGGCGCCGTTTTGTTGCCGTTCCAGGTCGCCTTTTCTTTTCATCGTTTCACTGTCCAAAAAAAATGTTAGCAAACGCTGAAAAAAAACGGCCCTCCCGCTTTCGGGGCCCAGGGGATGAGCAAGGTACACTCAAAGTTGACAGCGAGAAGGATGCAAACACCTTTTGACGCGCATGTCGGCGGTTTTCGAGCGGGGCTGGCCATCGAAAGGCGTTGAAGATGCACCGAAGAGCTCTGTCCTTCTTCAATATGCCCAGGGCGTGCTTTTGCCGTTTCCGTTTTTTAACCCGGCGTGTTGGAAATCATTGCTTTAGCGCTTACAGGCTCCAGCAAGACAAGTAAAAACGCGAAACAACTATGTAGGGTTCTGTGTTTTTAACTACGTCATGTTACTGTTTCCAGATCAGTGGGTTGCATTGTTTAACATTGCCGTCTACGATGTCCTCAGTTGCTCCTCCTTGCGCGCAGTCTTCCCTATACTCGTAATCTCACTCTTGTTGCTCCTCTTGCTCTTCTCTTGCCCTCTCTGATGGCTGGGGCGTCGGGTCTCCGGGCCGGATGACCGAATTCTGGGGCCATCGGGCCTCTGGGCCTGCTTCGGGCTGGTGTTCGACCACTGTTAGGGCGTTTTGGTGTGCGTTCTTAGCTTTGAGAGGAAGAACGGCGGAAGAAACAAAAAAAGCAAGAGCGAAGACAGCAGGGGAGACAAGGAACAGCCTGCGACCAGAACGCAAAAACGCTGAAAACACGATGATCCACAGCCACGGGCCTAAACACGCGAAAACACGAACGAGGCTAAAACACCGTTGCGATTTTTAGCGTGTTCAGCTTGTCAAGCTGAGGACTCCGCGCATCTCGAAAAGAGCTACGGCAACCGTCCATGTGCGGTCCCACATGGCCTGTGGCTGGCACAAGCGCGACTGAAGGGCGCCTTGCGAAACATAGTAGACCTGATCGAACTAAGGTTAGGTCGGGCATGTCCTCCTAGAGGCGGATGTTGACTGGAAATTGCAAGCAAAGTCAAACACATCATCAACAGAACAAAGAAGATCACACAGAAACAAAACAACGAGCAACTAACAACTAAACATCGCCCCCCGACAATCGATTGACGATTCTCAAGCCTCCCTCCCGTGGAGGGACATGCCCGACTTATAAGCAAGGCAACGCTGCATCTGGGCGTCCTCCGGCGGCCGCCCCCCGCCAGCCCAGCTCCCCTGAGCCACTGGCAGGAGGAGGAGGAGGAGGAGGAGGAGGAGGAAGAGGAGGAGGGGCGCCTTCACCGACACTCTCGCGCAAGCTCTTCGCGTGAGCTCCGCGCGCGGGCGTCCTCGTTTACACATACAGTCGGCCCGTACGGTAGGGATGCACGATGAGGATGCGAGGGCCTTGGAAGGTCATGTCAACACCCTGCGAGCGGGGCGCTGCCAACGTGGTGGCCAAGGACGGGCCGAGGAGGTAAGGATGCAAGGGTGCCCTGGGGATTGTTGCCCATCCTTACTGTGCCGGTTGACTGGATGGCGTGCCACGCTGGCGGCCCGCGTGAGCCGCGGCATGAGGTCGCTGTGTTGTCGTGCGTGAGCTCGGTCTTTTCTCGTCATGCAACGTCGGCTCCCTGCGCGGGCACGTCTCGCCTCCGTTCCTACCCGCTCGGTTTTTGGCAGTGCGACGTCAAGGCCTGCTCGCTTTGCCCTGCCTGCCCGCTGAGGTCAGCCGTCGAGGGGCAACGATAGGGGGGACTGACATGCGGGGGCGCATCGGCCTGGAGGCGGCGATGCATCGCCGATCGATCGGCGACGGGCCCCCGATAGCGGATCCGCATCTTCCCCGGCGGGGTGGGGCCATCGGCCACCCAGCGGCGACCAACGGGCGATTGGGGGTCGCTGCGCCCTCCCGTATGCTAGCCCCTTGTGGCTTTCGGATCGGAGATCGGGCCTCCGGCGGCCGTTCGGGACGATCTGGGCAGCCCCAAGTACGCTCTCGGCAGGGCGCAGCTGCTGGAGACCACCCCGAGGCCAACAAAAACCGCCGAGAACCCACGACAACGCCCGGAAGCCTCGAACACTCGCCCCGTTGATGCCTGACCCCAGGGGTGCCGCGAACCTGCGGAGCCGCCCGAACATCATCTCGAAGTCTCGCCTCCTCCTCCTCCTCCTCCTCCTCCTCCTCCTCCTCCTCCTCCTCCTCCTCCTCCTCCTCCTCCTCCTTCTCCTCCTCCTCCTCTCTCTCCCTCCTCCTCTCCTCCTTCCTCTCCTCCTCCTCGGCCTCCTCCATCCCTCCTCCTCCTCCTCCTCCTCCTCCTCCGCCGCCTCCGCCTCCTCCTCTCTCCTCCTCCTCCTCCTCCTCCTCCTCCTCCTCCTCCTCCTTCCTCTCCTCCTCCTTTTCCCGCCTCCTCCTCCACCTCCTCCTGCATCCTCCTTCCTCCCTCCTCCCTCCTCCCTCCTCACCTCCTCCTCCCTCCTCCCTCCTCCTCCCCTCCTTCCCTCCTCCTCCTCCCTCCTCCCTCCTCCCTCCTCCTCCCTCCCACCCCTCTCCTCCCCTCCTCCTCCTCTTCCTCCTCCTCCTCCTCCTCCTCCGCCTCCTCCTACTCTCCTCCTCCTCCCCCCTCCCTCCCCCCCCTCCTCCCCCTCCTCCCCTCCTCCTCCTGCCCGCCAACCTCCTCCTCCCCCTCCTCTCCCTGCACCCCATCCTCCTCCCTGCTCCTCCCTGCCTCCCTGCTCTTCCCTGCTCCTCCCTGCTCCTCCCTGCTTTTCGCTGCTTCTCCCTGCTCCTCCTTCATCCTCCCTCCTCGCTCTTCACTGCTTCTCCCTGCTCCTCCCTCCTCCTCCC